TCGCTCTCACTCTCCCTCTCTCTACCTCTCTCCCTTCCTCCCTTGCTCGCGCGCTCGCTCTCTCTCTCTCACACACACACACACACGCGCACACGCAGGCACACTCCCTCTCTCTCTCTCTCTTTCTCTCTCGCTCGCCCCTCGGGGAGGACCGAGCCGACGTTCGTCCCGCGACCGTCAGAGAACGAAGCGGCGACGCCTCGGTGCCGCTTCCGAGCTACGCGGTCGGCCGCGGTCGCGATCCGCGGCGCGAATCATTCCCGCCGCATGGCGATCCCATCCTCGTCGCGCGTTCGTCTATCCGGTCTCGCACACCTCGGACAACTCGCGAGAACGCGCGCGCACCGCCAACTGCTGGCTTGCGATCCCCGCCCGCCGCCGCCGATCCCCGCGACCGACGGACCTCGCGGCGCGCGATCCGCGACCCCCGGCCGCGCCTCCCCCGCCGGGCCGCGCGCCGCCTGCGATCGCGCGCGCCGTCTCGCGGAACGGCGCGCGAGAGACGAAAGGGACGTTCTCATGTGGGGACGCGAGCGCGGCCGCCAATCGGAAATTATTTATTAGCACCGAGTCCCCTCTTGCTTCTCCGCGGGTCCCCCGGGCTTTCGTCTCTCCGCCTATCCCGAGCGACGTCGCGATCGGCCGGAATGGCGAGATAGTGTGTTGACATTCGCTCCCGAACAGGCGTACGGCTGCCCCGTCCTCTCGGAACCCGTAGGTGTAGGGGAGACCCCACAGATCCGTCGGCCCGGTAGTTGTCAAGTCGCGGCAGCGATGCACTCGGTCAGCGCGAGCCCGCCGAGCTCCACGGACGTGAGCGACGTCCCGTCGGTTAAGCGAGATCGGAGCTGCCGCGCGGCGGACGCGGGCGCCGACGACGAGCCGTGCGGCGAGACCGACGGCCTGCGTATCCTCGACGAGTTTCGCAAGCTGTACGAGAGCCGCATCGAGAAGATCGACCGGGAATCGGCCGGCGAGTCCGACCAGGTCTCCGTAAGCGGCAGCTTTCTCTCTTTGCGGTTTCGCGCGAGTCCGTCTGCTATTTCTCCGCGCGGGTCTCTTTAATCTCCGAAATCGCGCCGGCTCCGATAGCCGTCGTTGCACTCGCGTACGTTGCGTTAACGAAAGATTACCTTGCAGATGAAGTTACAAGTGATGAGCGACTGGATCAAGGATCTGGGGGAGCAGAATGCGATGCTGGTGCATACCGTGGAGGATCTGGAGCAAGCCGCGTGCAGCAGAGTCAAGTTACTGGAGGAGAAGCTCAAACAATCGTCGCAGATGGTCGTGGATAATTTCACAAGATCCGATCATTCGGAGAAGGCAAGCGAGACCGCTCGGCTTTTGGTTGATCTGACGATCTCGCGACAGGGTCAAGACGTAAGCGCCTCTGTGTTGCAGACTTTAAGTACCCTCTCGAGCCGCGTCAGTCAGTTGGAGAAGGACGAGGAGTATCTGCACCAGAAAATAGAGTATCTGCAGAGCGACATCAGAGGATTGTTGGAGGTGATTCGTCGCGCGCGCCGCCAGAACGTTTGGAGTCTCGACGGCATCAAGTTCTTTGAGATTCAGCCAGATGATATCCCGGTACCAGAGTAAGTCCACCGTTACTTGGCAACTAATGCGTTAACACTGCACTCTTATAGTCTCGTTGTTGTCGCAAAGCGTTTGATAACAAAAACTTTGCTTTATCGTTTCAGCTGCATCTGTGATCAGGTAAATATGTGCGTAAACGCGGCGAAAAAGCTCAGATTTGTTCTGGACATAGAGCATGGCAAATTTCAGAGATCAAATTGCGCGTTGAGCAGAAGCACGTGACTATACCATGCGCTCGCACAAGCCAGAAAGTTTTTTTCCCTAACTCCCTACACCTTTGCTAAATTAAATTATTATTATATACATATATGCATCTGTATATGCATATATCCGTGTTGAATAAACTGCCAGTAGTACCATTTGACGGAGTGCAATGTTTTCAAGGAATCTTTCTTATTGTCGTTAAGCGTAATCACGTCTCGGTATTACATTCAGTTGTGCATCTTTAAATTAGGAGCAGACAGATACCGACCACATAAAGTCCTTGAATCTGCAAATAGAACACCTCCAGGGAAATGAGAGAAAGATGACCAGGTAAGATGTGCGCAGAATCTACTGTTATTCTCTTAATGTTCACGATGTAGTTCTCACCTCGGCTTCAAGTTTTCGTCATATGTGCACAAGCAAAAATGTAGTTTTGCCTTTTTCATTACATTCGTATATCTCTTTCATCTTTTTTTATGTTTACACATATATGTGTGTACATGGACAAACTCATTTTCCAGATCTCAGATGGAACTGGAAGGAAAAATAGCAGCTCTCACGACAGAGTTGTTGGTAAAGGACGATACCATAAAAAAATACGTCTCTAGACTTCAGTGCTTTTGTGAGAAGCTCAAGGAACATGCTAAACAAGCGAATCAAGTTATTAGTCACCCACTGACATTGGCTTCTGATCAAGATTGCAATGTAAGTGCGTTTTCCATAATTATTGTGCGGAAATTTATTTTTCAATTAATTTTGGGATTGGTTACCGGTTACTATGTATTTCTATAGATTTAATTTTGAGGCAATCATGTTGTAGCATATATAAAATATTAAAACGTTCAAACAACTTCTTTGACGCATTGTAATAAGTGCTTTTGTTACTCACTTGTAATCTGCTCTGAGCTTTAAATTGCATACCTCGCAAACGAGATAAAATGTAGCGCGTCTGTCCCAACATTGGAGATCTAGAGAGTTTTAAAATCTATGTTGCTGTTCAGATTATCTTAACACCTGACATTCTGGAAAGTGTACTAGATGCAAAAGATAGAGAAAACAAGAGCCTACATCGACAGCTCCAGGATGTTGAGTCCAAGCTTATGGTGTATACTTATGAGAACAATGTCGACACAATTAATCTACAATTGCAACTGGAAGAGAAATGTAAGAAAGTGCAACAACTGGAAGACAAAGTGGCTCGCCTCGAAAAAGTTGGTTTATTACATAAAAAAATATCTATTTTGTATATTAATTCATGTTATTAATGTATTATTACTTATGTTCGATTATTTTTACAAATACATTTTATTATCTTCAGGAAGCCGCAGAAACGAAGGATACACTGACGGCGGAAATCGTGGCACTGGAAAAACAAAATTATCACGCCAATATCGGCAATCTTTTAAAGGATGACTTGATTAAAGAAATGCGCAAAGGACTAAAGCAAACGACCTTAGAGGTACAATGCATGTTTGTTAAGTTTTCAATTGTAAACTTACAATTTTCTACATTTGTAGAAGACCCTACCTTCCTTCCGTCCTCGCAAGTACAATTCTAACGGCATCGCTACTGTCACCAAGACGAAATCATCCCATGAATCTCCTGAGCAACTTCCAGTATCGAACCTCCTACATATGTCCACACAGCGACAGAACGATTTTGCACTTTTGCACGACGATTCCGAGATCCTATTAAACGGCAAACGAAGTTTATCAACGTTTAATGCAAAGTTACGAAATAGATTGCACAATCTACAGAGCCAGTCTCGACCCTGTATAGATATTCAAGCTGGTCGATATAAATGCATAAAGAACATCGATAGAAAAATTCTACAGACAGCTAGAAAATTGTCACCTCCGTGTAAAGATAACCATTTACATAATCGAGTTGTGACGAACACTTATGCTTGTTCTACTGTGTGTGCAACACATGTTCAAGATAATACTGACGATTTAATTGTGAAATAAAATGAAATAAATTCACATTTGTAAATTACTACACTAAGGCATCTTATAAAGTTAAATATTTCTTAATAAAAATTATCATCTCCTTTCTAAAGTCTGTATGAAATGAGATTCAATAATAAAAGAAATTTACAAATCTTTTCAAATCACTAAATCATTACATATCTAGATTCTTAATAAATAAATGTATGCATTCAGAAATTTATATGCAATTTATTCAGTGAATTTTATATTATTAATGTGTATAAAATACTTTATTCAATTTGTGTCCTATACAATATCTATGCAAAATCAGGGTATATACATCAATATGATTGCCTCGCTTTCAGAATTAACATAGTAATTCAAGCTTTGAATGAAGCTTCTTTACTCTTGTATCGATACATTTGTATACAAATACACTTATCGACAAAAATTAAGAAAGAGACGATAACAGAGTAAATTATTAAATATATGTATTTTATTTGCGTGCGTACGTAATGTTTGCATTTATATCATATTCAACAAATATTTCCAATTTTATGAAATATCATCTTGACTTGGCATAATTTATAACATAAATTTAACAATTTGTATTAACAAATGTAAGTGCTTGGTTTTTCTTCATTTTTTGTCGATAAATCTAAATTAAATAATATAATAATTTTGTTTGTATGTATACCACTGTTTCGCCAATATATATTTATTCTTTCTAAAATTGTTTCAGGATACGTCTTCTCGGAAAGTTCGCATTGATATAAGTAATTCTCCGGAGGTCAGTCAAATTAAATAAACTTCTACACAACACATAATGTGATATTAAAATAATAATGTTTTATCTCTTTAGAAGTGTCCTCTGCCTTCAATAGATACTCCACATTCTAAAAAGGTTTGCACAATATTATGTTTTACTATGAGTGTTTAAAGAAGTATATCTTCATTTATACAGGGTGAATCTTTCCATATCCGACAAAATTTTTGAGAAGGTAGAACGGATCGAGATGAATGGAAAAGTCCTGTACCATTTTGCAATTTTCGTAATACTTAACA